AACAACGTAGTTGGAGGATGGATGGAATAGAGCTTCAACGATCATATCCAAAAGAGGTTGGCGGAATGTCGGTGAAGCCTTGCTATTCAAAGTTCAAGATCCAAGTTCAAGCTTCATCCGCGAGATTACCAAGTCAAGCTTATTGAAGATCAAGATCATTGCTTGGGTAATTTAGTTTAGGAATTTATATTATGTGTGTTAGTACTTTAAGCTCAATCATATACACACATACACGTTTTGTATTTTGTATATATATAGTTATATATATACATATATGTTTTGGTTTGATAGTTTTCAAGTTTTACTATGAAACAAATGAATAGAATTGGAAAAAACTATTTTGTTTCATGTTTATATGCCGTATATATTGATTTCACTTTTAACAAGCTTATCATTTAATGAAATCATAATTTCGTGTTTTGAATATATTGCATAGAATATGCAAATTTATGAAAATATTATATTTCTAGGTTATAGACTTCATAACAAATATTATATCTTTTATCAAGTCTATACAATCATTTCATAAGGTTTCAAAATGTTGTTTAAGTCAAAATATCAAAATATCAATTTTCAGGTTTTTCATCGTTTTGGGACTATTTTGTAAAATGATGATATTTTTTCATTTGGGAAGTCCTTTTTTCGAAACCAGTGCCGTTTGTACATGTTGATTATCATGTCTACAAGTCATTCCCCAAAAAGTTTTTACATTTTTTTGGAATTTTATTGTTCGATATTTTTAAACAGCAGTTGTTCAAAATTCAGATAACAACAAGGTTTTCATATCAGTTTTTGGTCGACCGCACCGGGTCGACCGGAACCTGAGGTCCAAGAGTTCACTGGGCTGACATAGGCTGCGCGTCGACCGGTCGGCGACCGATGAAAATATTCGTCGACCGGAATTTCGGGTCGACCGACGAGTGTTCTCTGCAGCTTCCAACGGCTAGTTTTTTGACCGTTGCCTTGGGGCTGAATTTTTCTTTGCTCTGGTTTCTTGGCGACTGAGTTGTGAGAGGGTATAAAGACCCCCATTGCCTTCAGCTCTCCAACCAAATCTAAGAGAAAGTTTAAAAACAAGTTTAAGAAAGTTTTAATCAAGAGTTTATGTTTGGTTTAAGTGTGTTTATAAGCTTTTAGAGCATTTGAGTGTTTTGGTTTGTGAATCACTTCCGCAAAGAGCTGGAGGAGATCATCTATTGGTGTTGAGGCATCCAACTCTTCTCCTTGCCACTCTTGATCTATTCAGAAGTTTTTCTAAACTCATCTAGCTCATATTTTAATATTTTTGATATATCTTTTATTCAAGCTAGTGTTCATAATTGAGTTTAGTTGTTTTTATTATCTCTTTGGTTCACACTACAAACCTATTGAGCTTATTGTATTTACATTCATTAGTATAATTGGGGTTGTGAGATTGTGTATCTTAGAGAGTGAGCTTACAATTGCGTTCTCATCCATTGTAAGAAAAAACACTTTTATTTGAGCCTTAATTGTGAGATACACTTTGTAATACACTTGTCACGCAAGAGAGAAGTGCTGGTGAGCGAGAGTCGGGGGATCGTTCCCAAAGGAGTGGGTTTAGGTGACGAGAGGTTGCTAATTCCTTAAGCACTTGTGAGGGAGACACAGTCTAGTTCGCAAACACTGTAGTTGGGTGCTAGAGTGTGAGTTGCAAGAGTGTTTGATTGTAAAGTTTTCGTTAGCTAGAAAACCCGGAGTGTGAGGGATGTAAACGTTATTGGGTGAACGATAAGAAAACCCGGTTGTGATAGTGGAGATCTCCTCTGATGTGAGGAGCGGGGACATAGGTCGTGGGGACCGAACCTCGTTAAACATCATCGTTTTTTGTTTGCTGATTTGCATTGGCCGTTGCTTATTCTTGTTTTCATATCTTATATTCGCCCTTTTGTGTATTTGCGCTCATCATATTCAACCCTTCACTTGTGTGATTGTTTATTTTACCCTTGTGTGAGTTATATATCCTTGCTCATATACTTGTAATATCTCATTGTAAAGGATATATTCGTCTTGGTCATATTGCTTATCCTGCTTACATATTCTTGTGTGTATTTTCATACTTGCTAGGATAACGTAATTAACTAATTTTAATGGCATTTAATCGATTAGATTAGCGATAACGCTAATCACCACCTCCCTCTAGGGTCTAACAATTGGTATCAGAGTGGTTGTGCTTTGATTTAAGGACTAAACCGCCTTGAGTTAAAGATCCAAAGTTATATTTTTTGCTAATCTAGTTATGATTGCATTTGTCTTGCTGCATATGTTCATTATATATCTGAATATGAATGTATTTTGTTTTATGGCCATGAATCCAGATGTTGCTGCCTAAATTCATATTAATTTTCCCTAATGCACAATTGGGCTTCTAGAATTTAAACTATTTGTTGATATCTAGAAATATTACTTATGAAAAAATTATTGATTAGTGCTTGATATTGTGCCCACATTGGAAGAAATCTAAGTGGAGCAATCATGATAATAAAATGTTAATATGAACAACTCTTGTTAGAAATATTGTGCTCAATGCCTTTGACCTCATCATTTTTTCTAACAAATTTGTTTCATTTTGATAGTGCTTACAATTTTATGGAAATTCATAGAAGGCACATCAAAGGCAACTTGGAGGATTGTTCTTCAAAGTGAAGTGTGAGCATTCATCATGCACACCGTCCACTAGGCGATCAGCCTATGTGGTAAGCGATTCGGATTCCGATTAATGATTTATCTATTGAGAACTCGGCTTGTGCTATGAAAGATTATCTCATGCCCTATAGCAAAAAATTAGCAAAAATAATTTTATTGATCTATAAAGCAAGCCATGTAGAATTAAAATCCGATCATGAGTTGCTAGTGTCGAAAATTTGATGGTCATTGTAAAAAGAAAATACTATGCTTAAAGAAAACAATGACTTATTAAATTTTTTGGAAAATAAAAATGACCTTATCCTTGGTTCTAGCTTATCTTTGTCTATAATAAATAAGAAAACACAAATACTAGACAAACAACATTAATGGTAAATTGTTTGTTAAACACCATCAAAACAAGAAGGCCAACAATTATTTCCTAGTGTACCTGAGATTTGAAAAGCTACAATGCTTTCTTCAAATGCTAGTTACAACGTGATCCTACCGATTGTGATCTTAATTAATTTTTTTTGGCTTTCGGGGAATAGTGTTCAATTATGAATAAGAATAATAAGAAGAAAATGTTGACCATGATTATACCACAATACCTTCTTACCATATCTATTCCAAGTAATGTGCCTAATTATGGAATGGAGAATCAAGTAAATTCAAGTTTTCCAAAAGCAGTCTCTTGCAAGATGATAGCTATAAAGCAAAAGGTTATAACAGTAGAATTTCGGCTTACCGGTGTAATCACCATGCTGTAACGTGACCAAATAACTCCAGTGCAAGTAACAGCTGGACATCATTTACAAAGATAGATATAAAGACTTAAAACATAGTAGGGATGGAAATAAAATGATTCCTCCATATTACAAAGAGACATTACAATTAAATATCAAACTACTATGTAGTCTATACATACCAACTTGTTGAGGATAGGAGATCTTTTCTGGTGGCTTGGCGAAGTCTGCAATATTGGCAATGCTGATACCCCACTTAAAGGTTGGAGCCCAAAAGTGAACTGCAATTTTATTAATTATTTATCCGTGAGAGGGATATGAAAAATACTTGTACAAACAAGTATCAAGAAGTACTATTTCTCCAGATAGTCATCTTAGTGTAAAGCTTTATTTCATGAGGAAGAGAGCATATATATGATTCTTTATGGATTACCTAATCATGCAACAATGGTGATGTCTTCATATTCTTATGAGGCTTAATCACACTTAAATACCCTATAGTTCCCCCCACTTGTTTTTAGTAGCACTTATATACCCCATAGTTTGTAAAATTGGCACTTAAATACCTTTAGTTATGCAACCGCGAGAATTTCCTCCTAAATATTCCCATGTAACATTCAAATGCCAATTTTATAACAGTTTAACCCTTCATTTTTGTAAAATTTACAGTTGAAACTACAGTAATTTTATTTTAAAACTATCCTAGTTCTATTTTAAAATAGGATGTTGAAATTCAACAAAGAATTAACCAAATATTAAGAGTTAAAAATGTTTTAAAATTAGTATGTGAGTGTTGCATGAGAATTTTCAGGCCGAGGATAATAAAATTGCAAATTTCAAAAAACTGCAGGGTGTATAAGTGTTGCCGAAAACAATTAAGGGTATATAAGTGCAAAAGGAGGGGAAACTATAAGGTATTTAAGTGCAATTAAGCTAGTAACCTAAACTAGTGTTATCAATGCGCAAGATGCAAGGCGCAAGGCATTTCGCAAAGTCCCTTTACGCGCAAATGCATAAGGCATGATGTGATGCGCACCCTCAAGTAAAGCAGGGTGTGCACCGCACATAATTTTTCAAGATAGATAATCAAGCACGAAAGAACATGTTTATGAATTTTCACATAGAAATATGTTAAGATAAATAATAGTCCTCCAAATTACAAAATAAGGTATTATTCATAATGCTGACCTAACATAGTAGAGAAGTTCATACTTCTCCAAATCAAAAGTCAAATCAAAAGTCAAATCAAGACTGACATCAAAGAAAAATTAAATAGTAAATGAAAGCCACTTAGGATCCTCAATTGAGCTAATAAAAAGGCATAATATGCTTATTTTCCTTATTGAGATAGAAATATGTTAAGATAAATAATAGTCCTCCAAATTACAAAATAAGGTATTATTCATAATGCTGACCTAACATAGTAGAGAAGTTCATACTTCTCCAAATCAAAAGTCAAATCAAGACTGACATCAAAGAAAAATTAAATAGTAAATGAAAGTCATTTAGGATCCTCAATTGGGCTAATAAAAAGACATAATATGCTTATTTTCCTTATTAAGATATCGATTATTAGGTATCCACTGAAATGTCAAAGAGCAAAAATACATGAGGCTAGTCTTGCATGTGCCGCACTTCCCTCGGAGCGCTTAGGAGGCGCAAAATGGCATTGCCTTGCATTTGCAAAGCATCTCGCATCAAATACGGGGGCGCGTTGCCAATGCTGCTCATCGTAGGGTTTGGCATGCATCTTTGATAGACTAATCTAAACTCTCAGGAAAGGGATATAAAGGGAAATCTTGATCTGAGTTGTCAGCTGGATTGAAACATGAGCTGCAAATGGCCTTTACTAAATGCGTTGCTGCTGCTCAATTAGTAGGGATATCTTCTTTTATGACAAACTATCTAACATAAAGAATATATGAAGGGAAAAAAATAGAAATCTGAAACCCTTTTTTATCCTTTAGAGATTTCCTAAAGTTTCATTTCAGGTTGCAAGTAGAGTGAAGAATAGTCTAGTCAAAGAGAAACAACTGTTAAAAATAGCCATGTTTCCCCCATAATTTCATGCTTTTCAAGTTCAGTTCATATGGTAAATAATTAATACATTTGGCATGTTTACAATAGAAAGCTGAAAATGAAAAGGGCATAAATAATTGTTGTCGTGTGACCATGTGAATGTGTGTCTGTGACCACGTGAACTTGTGTGTGTGTGACCATGTGAATGTGAAAGCATGTGTTTTGTGTGTTTTAGAAAGATAACTAGTTTTAGGGCCTGCTGGGTGGTTCCATAGGGCTTGAATCTTTGAAGCTGCCATGTACAAATAGTGACTCTTCAACACCTTTCTGCCTGCTATATCCTATACAAAGATAAGTCAACCAAAATGAATCAGCAATTAAATAATACTACGAGGGAGAAAACCAAAAACTGATCAAGTAGCTAGAAAAAATGCATTCTATTTGCCATTTGATTAAAAGGATAATTATTATGACATTAACGTTTTTAGAGACAGAAATGTTTCTATTTCATCTTGGTAAAGTATGCAAAATGATAAAGGGTTTTTTTTTTATATTTGACCAAATCTATCATAATTTGAATTGGTCCCTCAAATCTTCACATTTCGAAATCCGTCCCCTAAATCATTAAGTATTTGAATTTGTCCCCCGAATCTCCATATTTTTAAAATAGTCGCCCAAATCTTTCAATTCGGGGCTAAATAGAGGAACTAATTTTGGAACACTTAAGGATTTGGGGGACATTTTAAAATATGAAGATTTGGGGGACTACTTAAAGGATTTGGAGGAAATTTCAAAATATGAAGATTTGGGGAACTAATTTCAATAAACATAATGATTTGGGGGACTAATTTCAAAATATGTAGATTTGGGGAATTAATTTCAAAACATGAAAGATCTGGGAGGCTAATATTCAATAAAAAAAGTCAAATGGTAAAATACAATGATGTATCAAGTTTAGAAGGAATTTAGACTTGCTTAAAAGGAATTATAGTTTCTTTTCAATTTACATGACAGTTGTACATAGAGATGCTTTGCTTTACGCTTTAATTAAAATCTCTTAATAATATTTCAAACAATGACCATATATTTGTCCGTTTAATAAATCCATTGATAAATATGTCTCCACTCTAGTGAAAATTTTTGTTTTATTCTTCGTTAAATCTTTTATTAATATTTTGAATAATGACCATAGTATTTGTCCATTTAATAAATCCATTGATAAAAATGTCTCTCCTGCAGAAGCCAGATATTAAGTTTTTGAAGGTTTACCAATGAAATTCTTACTGTGGAAATGCAAAAGCATAATTGGATGGGGAAAAGAATGTGAGATGTCAATAGGAGAGTTACTACATCTGTAAGGTGTTATTTGGCTAAAATGGATTTGTCACTATTTCAGGTGGTTTGGAATATGTAACCCTGTTTGTCATATACTTTTTGAGTTCCACATGAAGAAATAAAGAAATAAGATCTGACATTAGAATTCCATTGGATATACTTCTACGATGGCTCGTAGTTAGACTTCTATGGCAACAAAGGAATAATAGGATTTTTACCGAAACTTTATATGTTCGCTCTTTTGTCCACTTTGCAATTTTTAGTTAGAATTATTACCAAGTTTTATAAAAGTTTTTATTTCGGTTTTTCCTGGCAAGAAATGAGGACTCGGATTTTCACCAAAAAATACTAATTATAAACTTTAACTTGTCTGCTGTTTCAGACTTTTCTGTGATAGCTCTTATTTGGGTTCCAGGCAAGAAAGTAGTAATAGGATTTTAGTAAATTTTTTTAATACAGTATGAGTGATATAAACTTATGATAATAGTTCATCATAATTAGTATGATCCATCTTTAGCTTCCTTTGATGACTTCTGGTCAAATATTTTTACTAAAAAGAAGAAAAGAATGGTTCGATTTGGGGAATCGCAAGGTACCCTGCAGACATTATGCATTTGAGTAGTGTTTCTCCTAAGCTTGTATTAACTTATGGAGTTTGAGCTTCAGCTACTTCCAATTATCTCATATTTGATGGCGTGCATGTGAACTTTATATTCATATGATACTTATTTTGTTAAACTATTTGGCATGAAATCCTAAAATGACTAATCAAATTATTAGTAATGTCTACTGAACACACTTTAACTGCTATTAAAATGTACATACGCAAAATTGCACATTTAAATGTCCCAGATAGTGTTCCAAAGCAGCTGGATCAACCACTATAATGTAGCAGCACTATCTTGCCATAATTTTACAACAATAGCCAAGATAGATAAGACTTTTGAATACGACTCTTTAGAATCTGCTAACTTGCTAAACCACTAGCAAATAGTCACAAGCTCAATGTCGGATAGTCCACTTAACATATTAACCTTGTCTGAACTAACTTTTTTTTATAGAAGGCTGTAAGTTCTAACTAACGATCCTCTTCTCATCACTTATGCCACTCCAAATTCTCCTCACTTTAACTTTTGCCCTACAAAATGAGAGCATGAAGCTTCCACTTCAGTAAAAGATGCTGAGTTTCAACCTTTATTCACCACAAGCAGGGTTAGTAGAGGAAACAGGGATTCTTCAATTTATTTGTGTCAATCCTTCAATGTTTTTCTCATTGTTAGATTTTGTACGATGAATTGTTCTCAATAGCATTCTCCGATATTCATAGATATTTCTAATTCTTGTTTATTTCTAGTTAACATTTACAGGGTATAGTTATGCACTTTAAATATGAATTTCTCTTTAAGATAAAATTGTCTCAATCCCTTTAAGCCTTCTCCTCCTAGAAAAAAAGTCTAAGTGCATTACCCCCTTCTCCTCCTAGAAAAAAAAGTCTAAGTGCATTTTTCTTAGTGACACCCTTCCACCAATGTTTTTCAATAATCTTAAACTACCCTCATCCATAATTTATAAAAATCCCTACGTACCTTTCCATTAAGAATACCCTCTCCATCAATGTTTTCAGAACACCACCTCTCGTAACACCTCGTCATCAGCGTCACATTCAAAATGCCAACCATCAAGCAAACACCAGCCTTATTTCCACTATATATTTAGATGATGACTCATTAAAAGCATTAAATTGTAACTAGAATTGTGTCTAAATTATTCAGAGCAATCATCTTAGGATTCATAGAGGGGTCTTCTACAATCTAAGTTGCATGGTAGGGGACATGACAAAATTGTAAATGTAAGGTATAGGTTGCATATTTATTGAATAATAATTTACATAAGGTCGTTATTGTTTTCTGCTTCATGTATTATTAGAATTAAACTCCCTAAAATATGCTTGAGTTTCTTTTAATATGTCGATCATTATAAATTGAAAACTAATTGTTTTTGAACTAGATACCCGAATGACCCTTTAAATCATAGTTTTGAAATTTGTATGATGTGAAGTATAGAATATGTCCAAGAAAGCAAGAAGTGTATGACAAGTGTTTTAAATTAAAACATCTATACCGTGTTATCGAGGTGCAAGGTGCAATGCAGGGCACAAATGTCCCTTACGCACACCATGCACAAGGCACTTAATGATGTGCGCGCCTCACTGAATTGAGACGCACAACTCAAACTAATATTTTTTAACATAAGACAAAGAAGCATATAAGCAACATGTTTATAAATTGTCACATAAAAAAACTAAGAAATATAATTTCACCTACTAAATCAAGAAAGAATCTTAATTAGCATGCATAACATAGAGAAGTTCATAAGTTTTCACAAATCACAATGCAAGATAATATCAACATGAGCAAAAGTCTACGAAACAAAATAAGCAAGTAGCAAAATAACAGTGTTTAGTCATCCTCATTATCATCATCATCCAACTGAAGTGAAATTTCCTCATCCTCGGTTTCCTCTTTTTCATTGAACTCTTCTTCATCCTCCGAGTCCAGCTCGCTCCTCCTAGATGACGAATCAATACCACTTGAAGATCCTCGAACCTTAGCAGTAAACCTTAAAGTTCTGTGAACTGTGAACAACAGAAAAAAATAAAGAAAAAAAGAAAACAGAGAAAAAAAAGGTTAGAAAACTCACCTTTCATTGTTGCCCACCTCTAGGTGATCGCCGACTCGCCGCCGCACTTAAATGGAATACGGGTGGTTGCCAGTGAACTCTAGTGACCCCTCTAGTGGTCGCAAGTGAGATGGGGAAAGCGGAGATGTGAGAAAGAGAAGAGAGAGGGAGAGAGAAGCAGCCTCAAGACACCGATGCCCTAATTTAGGGATTGGGTCTTCATTTTGGGGTTTTATTTCAAAACGGGTTTAAGAAAAGTGGGTTTTCAAACCCAATAACCGCTTACCCAAAGAGGTTGAACTAGAGCAGTGGGGCGCACAAAAGTGTGCGTCACACCCAGTGCGCAAGGCGCACATGAGATGTGCGCCCTGATGCAGTGCAGCACCCCGAAGGTTCTGCGGGGAGCAAACCCATCGGGCTGAAGCGCCCGATGCCTCAGGCGCGCCCGAAGCGGCCGCCTCGATAACACTGCATCTATATATAATTGAGTACGTGTCTAAATAAATGTATGCATATATTCATGAAGTGTCCATAAAGATCTATTACGAGAATGTATCCAGTACTGGTATGACTTCATGATAGAAGTATCCGGGTAATATAGTCTACAACAAATCAAATAGGATTCATATAGTGGTCTTCTCTAATCTAGCTAAGAGGAAAACAAATCACATCTTAGAGATATTAACTAGTGACAATAAAATTAACAAATTGGAAATCAAAATTCACTCAATTCAAGATCAACAAATTCAATTTCAAGCAAACCTCACAGTGCAGAAGTCATATGCATTTGAAACCAGTACCAACATAAATCAAGTATAAAGAAATGTAAAGTGGATAATTAGGCTGAAACGAAACTCATTTGGCCTTCACTCACTATCCAACACCAATTCCACACAATTGAAGACCCTAAATGCTAAAACATGACACATAATGCACCTCAAAGACCAAACAAAATGTGAGAATTGTAGAAATTGATGTGTCATAGAATTTATCAGCTAAAATCAATGGGAGCGATGCCATTACCAGCGTGGCATCAGAACCATCAAGGAGTGCCAAGCACCTACTAAGGGCAAGGGGAGAGAACTTAAGATCTTTTTTCTCCCTGAGCAGTTGGCATTCTAAAAACGATCCCGACAATGAGCAATAGTGCGCCGGTGACATCGATTGAAATTTGAGCTTATTGGAAAGGTAGGTATTGATATGATGAATGAGAGGTAGCTTAGGTTTATTGGAAGATATTGGTGAGGACCAAAGACAAGTGACTTTTTTCCAAGGGGAAGCTTGATTTTTTATAGCCAGGGGATGGAAGCAATTTCTCCTTAATTTAAATAGCCACTCTAAAGTATATGTCAAAATGACCTGATTACTATACTGCTTAGCTTCTCATTTCTTCTTTGCTCCTCTTTCCACACAAAAATACAATTTTTCAGATTCTACATATGCACCATGTAAGTAGTAGTAGAGATTAATGATGCACATAACTGCAACTTCCCTTTTTACACACACAGCATAAATAAAAAATAAATCATTAGAAATATTTTTCAAAAAAACTACACCAACCAGCAATAAGAACAATAATAAAGCCTTTATCCCATTTTTTAGTCAGTTGCAAGATTCCTATTCTTTCCATCCTGTTAAAGGTTATCCCCTCCGTTAATTCAATCCATATGATAACTTCCTTAATTTCTCCCAACAAGTTCCCTTAGATCTTCTTCCCTCAGTAGTATATCTTATTACTTCTCTTAAATGGTACACTTAGAGGGATCTGTTGCACAGCCAAACCATATCGAATTATTCTCTCTCTCATTTTATTCTCAATAAGAAAAACCTCTCACTTTCTATGAATACAATCATTTCTCATATTATCTCCTACTGCCTATTTGCAGCTCCATCATCTGTTACACTCTTTTTTTTTTTTACATATTGTTTTCCAATCACCCAACATTCTAATCCATAAAATATTAAATTTCCCTTTAATTCCATAGGCAACTTCAAAATGATGAATTCAGAGTCCCATAGTTTATTTTGGGCCACTGCAGATCAAATGTTACCTCCGAGACCTTCAATCTTAAGCACGACAAGGTATTTGGGCAAAACCCAAATGAACAAATAACCCTAAACTATGCGGGCATTTTTAAACTAAAAAGCTCGATTGAGAAAAGATTCTGACATCATTCCCCGCGATTCAACCCTAGCAATCCAAAAAACAAACCAAATGGAAATGGAATTATGTTTTTACCTCGAAAGGTCGATGCTCTGGACCTCGCTAGGGCAGTTGAAGACGACGACGACCCTTCACATTCTATGGAAATGGAATTATGTTTTTAAACTAAAAAGAGAATACTTTAACGTTTGAGTCCTTGACGACCCTTCACATGGGCTCAATGCGGTTTCGGGTGCATTGAGCTGTCCATTAAGATCCAAACCCGTTAAGACTTCCAAGCGATCTATTTTCAATTGAACCGCAGGTATAACAATCATTTTTAATTTTAGAGTTTTTTAACCATCACTTTTTGTTACATTTACAATTAACCCCGCCAAAATTATAATTTAAAATATATCTTAAATCTATTTTAAAAGTAAAATTAAAAGGATTTGACTGTGAGTTCCACAAACTCAATAGTTAGAAAGTTATAAAATTAATATATGAATGTTATATAGGAACTTTTGGATAAAAAATTTCACATTTGCATTGCTAAGGATATGACCATACCAATTTTAAATTTGACTAGTATAGTGCAAGCACCTTGCATGTGCTTTAAGTTTTGAAATTTGTTTACTAAATAATAAAACTATGTGTTAATAAATAAAATTATATAATAAGGTTGCTTAAAAAGAAATGTATGAATTAATTATTATTGTGTAGTTATTCTAATTTATTGTTTTCTTATACTGATCGCTTAGTACTAACCTTTTTTTAAACAAGTTCCTCAAATCTAAAATTGTTTTTAAATAAAACTGTTAATTCTATAAGTTCTCTTAAGTATACCCCTCCAACTTGAAAGTTATTAACTTAACTCTAAATTAAATAAGCTGCATTAATCTTGTGAGGTTTTGTTGATCTTCCTTCAATAGTTATACTTAATACCTACAACATATTGTGATAGTTACTTCCTATTAGAATTATTTAGTAGGGTACATTACACTAAACCCTTATGAACTTTCAAAATCGCACTAAACCCCTAATGACTTTTCTGTTTCAAAGA